CCCCCACCCGCGCAGTATTAAAGGCGAATAAGGTGTTTAAGAGACGGATTAGCCCAATCAAGATAGACGGTGAAGGTACAACACAATTGTTAAAAAAAACAAAAAAGAAAAAAGGCGACTTCGCCTTGACTTCATCAATTCTTTAGGGGTTTTACCTCAGGGTTTTATTCGGTCTTTCCCAGAGGACGAATGCTGGTGAAAAGTTTAAGATCCTCCTCGGTGACATGTTTTAGATTTTCTTGATGATCCTTTACGACTTTGGTGATGGTCTCGATCAGGACTTTCTTTACCTCGCCCGTCATGATCCAGCCGAGGGCGTAGTCGTGTTCGATTTTCTCCAGCTTTTCATCATCCTCGAGGAAAAAACACAACCACTGGATTGGAATATCTACCGTGGTGTTCGCGCCGAGCTGAAAGTGCTCTTTTTTTGTCGCCCCCCCGCCGCTGAAGGCGTGTTTGTTTATTTTATCTTTAATCGATTTCTGTGTATCGGTCAGAAACACCGCGGCCCCGACGGAGGAGCTCATTTTGCCTTTCAACCCACTCACACTTGGGAAGAACTTCGAGTGGATTAACGACGGTTTTAAATACCCAAGCCGTGGGGCGACATCCCGGGTTAGACGAAAATAGGGATCTTGATCAATGGCGTGCGGAATAAGGCAGAAGACATTTCCCTTTTCGGGGGGAAATATTTGTGGGAAGGCAACCGAGAACGATGGCGCGGCTTGAATCGCCGGGAACATCCATTTCCCGCAGTTGTCCTCCGATTTAAACCCAAAGGTCCCACGTACCTGACTGGCCGTGTAGGCCTTTTCAATCCGCGCGATGACGCGATACATATTCCCAATGTAGTTGAAATCGGTGAAGATGAAAGTCAACTTTGGATCGAACCCAAAGGCGATGATGTCTTTGATGTTTTCACGAGTCATCTCCTCTACTTGGTCGATGGTGAGGTCTTTGAAAAAAAACTTCTCGTCATCGGTGAGCTGGATGACGAGCGGGACCTTGAAGGTTTCCTGCAGCCACTTCGTGAAGATGAAGGGGATTAAATGGCCCATGTGCATCGACTCACTGCTGGGGCCACGTCCGGTGTACATATAAAAAGGCATTCCTTTTTCATACACATCTAATAGTAAGTGGAGGTCGCGGTGGGAAAAGAAAATACCGCGGCGTAAAAAATGATGGGCCTCCTTGCCCGTGAGCCGTTCAATGCGATTAATAAGCTCCTGGTCGATCATTTGGGAGCCAAATTCTTTGATTAGTTTGTTGTAGTTTACTTCCCCTTCCACCACCCACGGGGTCACCGTTCCTTCCGCAGTATTTGTCATGTGTGGGAAGACGAATACCGAGTTTTGAGGTTGCTTTTTTATATTAGTTAGGTGTGAGGATAACGTAGCGCGATAGCTATCGATTTTTATATAAATAGATATCAATATATAAATGCTAAAATCAATGGGAAGGAAAAACTATGCGTGTGGATTGGAACAAAGGGATTAAGCAAAAATTTCAGCAATCACATAGTACTTCATCACCGTTGAGGAATCCAAGGTATGTTTACTGAAAGTGTCATAAGTGAAAGCATATTTATAAGAACAACCAATCGACATATTCGGAATCCAAAAGAAGTATATTTCTAATTTGTATCACACCATCTGAAATTGTGAAAGTAAACACCAGTTTAATCCTTTATTTAGAAATAGTATCAATATAAAAAGTTTCTAAAAGGACCCATACCCTTCCCATATCGCAGAGGACTCTTACGACAAAATGAGCGCGATAAATGTTATAGCGAACATAATTATAACAAATAGCATAAGAATTTTTTTATTGCAAGAGTTTTCTTGGTACTGATGAGCCCGACGAAGGTTCTCATTCGCGTTGAAGGTCGCCCGCTCTGCCATGGATACATTCGTGTTCACCGTCTCCAGTTGACCACCCTGCTCCTCTACCATTTCATTGATATGTACAAATATCTCGTGGATGTCCTTGACGCTGTCGGCGATTTCTTGTGTTTCCCTATTCTTTTCCGCCATGATTTCTTGATATAACGTATCCTCAAAGGCCATCTTGGCGGTCGTGGCTGAGCCTTCCTTCAAGAGGGGCAAGGCGGCATCGTCGTCCTCGCGGTAGGGTCGACCATCGTGTGAGGAAAACGTTTTCTGATTTCGCTTTTCGCGTGAACTTTCCTCCACGGCGATGCATCGTTTGTAGAAGTTATCACACGCGCTCTGGTAGGCGTTCAGGGTGATTTTGGCATCATTCATCAGTTTCACTCCTCCCATCTGAAGATTAGGGTCCAGTTTAATTAGGCGTTCCACCTGTCGAAGTTGATCTTGGATGACGTGAACATCGGAGCTGTTCGCCGTGCTCGTTGTGTGTTTGACTCGTTCACGTTCTTTGTTAATATCCTTGATGGATATTACTTTGTTGGTACTGCGGCGAATAGAGGCGGTTTTGCGATCTAAAGACTGCAAGGCTTTGGCCAAATGCTCACAATTGCGCTCCAAACCTGGGCTATACGTGTTCATCGTGTGCGGTATAGATATATATAGGGTGTACGCTATTTCTGTAGTCTACGGTCTCAAGAAGAAAGTTCCGAGAGAGAAAATGTAAGAGGAATATCACAGAGGAGACATCACACCCCAACGGCGATTGTCATAAATATAAGGATCCCACCAAAACAACTCTTCTAATATATATTTAAGCTTTAGATGCCGGTATGGATCCGTACCTGGTGGGGGTTCGGTTATGCTTTTACCACCTCAAGCTCAAAGTAGGTGATGGAGCCGGCGTTATCCTCAAAGCAAAGGTAACCACACACATCCGCATAGGGATACAAATGATGAAAGTCCTCCAGGGTTTTCGCGAGTGAATGCAGCTTGTCTTTATTAATGATGGAGCTCTCGTGAACGGGAATTACTTGAAAACATTTACACTTTTTGACCATCCCGGTATCTTCTTCGCGTAATAGGCTCGTCACCATAGACTCACCGCGAGGTAGGGGTTGGAGAGCGGTGGACCACAATGGAAGCCGTTCTTGAACATCACATGCCACTAAAGCTGCGAATTGTCCTTCCATCACAATAGTGCCATACTATCTTATCGAACTTTCTAAAAAACTATATGTGAAAAAGATTTACAGATAGGTTATTTTTCTGTGTTTAAAACGCACCCATTACGAATTATTTCTCTCTGCTTTTCTATCGTTCACCATTACCTGGTAAGATTGTTCATCACATCAAACAAAAGTCAATGTTCATGCCGGTATCTCATACGAATTTTTCAAAAAATTATCGTACATTGCAGGTAGCACAGAAACTCAAATAAGATAAACAAGAATCAGAATCTACACGTCTATATTCTGTGGATACATCCAGTCCGTAGCAACCTAAAAAAATTTTACCCTTCAAGAGATTTGAGAAAGTAGCTCCAACCGATTCTCGTAGTTTTCTAAAAATTGGCGTGCAAGGGCTTCCACCGGTTCTTCGATGCCGGTGGCCCGCAAGGCGGAGCACTTGAAATACTTCATTTTGTTAGCCCCCGCGAACGACTGTGCATGGGCATCACTCACCTCGCTTTTATCCATCAAGTCCGTTTTGTTCGCCACCAGAAGCAAGGGAAGATCACACCGCACATTCCGCAGCTTCTTAACCCATTTTTCACATTCCTCAAAGGTCGATCGATTCGTTATATCATACATTAGAATAAAGGCATTGGCGCACTCAAGATAGGTCGGGACCATTTGTTCATATAGCCCTTGACCCGCCACATCGAGCATCGTGACCTCGACTGAGTCGTTTTCTTTTACTTTAATTTCCTTTATTACAAAATCGCAGCCCATGGTCATGAGATATTTTTTTGGAAAGGTGGTGCCATTGCTGTGCAGCATCTGCACAAAGGCGGTTTTGCCTGAGGTGGAGGCGCCAATTACGGCTATGCGTAGCCTTAGCAATACCATCTCTATTGCGCCCTTCTTCTGTTTCTTTTTTTTCTTTTGTGAGAAGGATATTTTTCCAATTTAGCTATGTTGTTTGACAACCTTTTGAATGTTGAATTTATTCCAAACAGGAAATTGCTGAACAATCCAAAGACTACCCCCCCCCCAAAAAAAAAACAGAAAGATAAGCCATTCATAATTCACTTTCTCCACTCAACAGGTATTATTGACAGTTGTTTGTGTTACTTTTCTTCAAAAAACACACACACTCACAGAGTAAAAGTCTACATAATGGAAGGAGAAGATCCGACTCCCCCTCCCCCCCCCTCCTCTCGCCCCCGCAGCTCAAAAAATGCAAAATAATTCCCTATACCTAATGCTCCAGAAGTGCTCGAATAGGATCTGTTTTATCCTCCTCAGAGTTCTCGCCAACTGCATGTTGTTCAATACGAATGGCCACCCGTTCGTGCTCTGTGATTTGCGTTAAGACCGCCGGGAGCTTCCACACTCTTACAGACCCGCGTGCATCGCCGGTGGCCAACAAGTCCGCGGATTTTCGATTAAACCGCGTGGAGATCACCTCGGCCCCATCCATCCCGGCCTCCACCGAGAAAACCGGACGAAATCGCGAGCTTTGGAGGTCATAAATATGCAAAAAAGCGCTGCGGGAGACCACCGCGACGACGCTTGGCCGCGAAGGGCTGAATTGCGCGTCGTACAAGAAGTGCTTGGTATCGGCTGAGGGCTCGAGAGTGAGGAGGTGGACGCGGTCGAGGTTGTGGGAAAGGTTCACCGTGCCGTCGGAGGAGCAGGTCAGAAAAAGATGTCGAAAAAAGGGGGAAGGGCTGAGGGCCTGGACCGGTCCGTGATGTCCTTTAATCCAGTCCAATTCTAGCGGGGAGGCCGCCGTGGCGGTCTTTTCCGCCACGTTTGCAATCAAAGGAGTGCGGCCACAGCCGATTTCTCCGTTTTCCAACCCCACCAATATCGGGTTCGACATTTTTGGTGGCTCCCCTAAGTTTGTAAGCCCGGTCGAGTAAACATGGGCGATAGACGAGATCCCCACCGCCGTCTGACGTTTATGCGGCACGCCAAAAACGGCGGACGGGGCCTCCATTTTGTGGGGCGGGCTCCAATACATCACTTGGCCGTCCTGCGCGGCGGAGCAGAGTAAATAGCGATAGGCTTCGCGGTGTTCCTGCACTTCCTGCACCCATTCCAGCGCGGTGATGGGCTCATGATGGGCCAACCCCGTTCGTCGTGTGGAGTACTCCGTCGGGATCTCCTCCGTGATATCCGGGACGAGAATCACCTCGCCGCTATACGTCCCCACCGCCAGCATGTGGGAGATTTTCGGGTGAAATGCCACGCAGGTCGCGTGCATGTCCGTTTCGAGGGTGTAGTGCGGGTTATTCCGGTTCAAATCGAACCGCGTCAGGTTCCACACCCCCACATACCCGTTGTGATAACACCACCCCGAGGTGTCGATTCGCCCGTACGCCACCGCCAACATCGTCCCGCTGGCATTCCAGGACAGCCCCAGGGCGTGCAAATCGCCCTCCACCGCGTGGGGGGAGGTGAGGGTGTGAAGAGGGGTGAGTTCCGTCGTGTGGGTGACCCAATTCGGCTCATAATTGTCAAAAATCGCGCTCTTGGTGTTGTGGTGGAGGATGGCAAGGCATTCCTCCTTCCGGGACCGTAGGAAGGACGCGAGGGTGGCTTCGTTGTAGGGGATGTGGGTGTCGTAGACGTATTCAAGGCCCACCATGGAGGCCTGGGTGGTGGTGTGCGTCTCGGTCCCCACCGCTTTGTCGACCTGCTCGTCAAGATTAAGGGATTTCAGCGTGGACTGGGTTTCGACATTCCGGGTGACCACAGGTATGGTCTGCGCGCTCGAATCCACCCGGCATGACTCCTTGCTCCACGAGGGGAGGATAACTACCTCCCCTACGATTTGATTCTTGAACTGAAAGGTCGCGGCCATGTACCTCTTTCGGTCATAAAAAAGAGATGAGTGAATGCTATTGGTGAGGGTTTAGAGATTTTATGGTGTTGGAACGGAAAATTAACTATATGGATGCTAATACAGCCCCCTAAAAAAGTTTGCTTAGACTAAGCAGAATGAAAAAAGTTCTTCTTGTCTATTCCTATACCCATACATTAACCCAAGATGCAGTTTTTTCATTAAGTAGTTAAAGTGAGTTTCATGACTTTAAACCATATACGGTTCTACAAGGATTTCATCAAAAAAAAAACGTTTATATATTTTACCAGGTTATATATTTTTTGTTTAACGTCATTTTTATACAATCATGCTGATGAATAATCTTAAAAATTATGGCTACCATGTGACGCATGCATTCACTCCTTAAAAAAAAAATGAATCACAGAACAGAAAATGCATTGAAAGGTACCTGGAAAATTATTTTCAATCGTAATTGTCCGCAAAAAGTGTAGAAATGATATATAAAAAGTTTCAAGGAAATAATTTAACATAAAAAAGATCAAATAAATTACCATTATTGACCACTAATGCAAATCAAAATAAGCGTCCAAGATCGGCAACGGAATGAATAACCATTTTAATTATTTCCGAGTAATTAATTGACTTTAATTGCATTTCTCAGATTGCTGTTTTTTCCATTGCCTTTGGTTTTACTCCAGAAATTTTGGTTATTTACAGAAAATAAAGCGCAAAGGAATAAACGAAATGTTAGGGATATCGAAGGTATTGTGGTAAACACCCTAAAGGGGCATGGAAAGAAACTTTAATTATCAAGATCAACGGATTTTTCATGTGTGTCTATATTGATTAAATTACACTCAATGTCAGCGGATGCCTTCAGGACGAGTGCGTAGTCCTCTGGGTATTTTATCATGGCATTAGAAGAGTCGATTGAATTCATCCGATGCTTCAATATATTGCTAAGCTCGTGAATGGCATGGATGATCATGGAATGATTGCCCATAGTAGTGATCACTTCCTTTATGTATACACCAGCTGGGCGATTGTTGATTGAAAGAGCATCACGCAGCAGTCTGATCAAGTCTTGGCTATCCGGAGCGTGGTTTATCGCCTCTCGGCAGCTGTTAATCATCTCCAGCGTGCTTTCAATCGGGTCGAGAAGAACCGTATGCGACTTCACCACATTGATTGCCGTGGTTGTCGCGGGGAATGTGCGTTCGACCTCGTAGGTGCTAATACTCATGCGCTGCGTCATGACCGCGAGGCCGTCCGCCGCGGGGCCGCCGCGGTTCGCCCCCACCGTCGAGACATTCCCGAAATGCCCCCAATGGAGGACGGGGTTGGGCCCATTGAGCGGCCTGTGCGGGGCCCCCGCGAGGTAGGGCTCCACCTCCGTCACCGTCACGAGGCAGTGGTTACGGGGCCGCTGCAGGGCGGCGATTCGCCTGCGCTTCGAGTCCGGCTCCGATGGCGCCGGCCGGGTCTCGCTGCAGTCCTCCGTAAGCTGAACCCGCGACGCGTCCGAGAAGTAGCCGGCCACCCACTCCTGAATGGATGTCTTAAAGGCCTCCAGCTTGGCGGTGGCGGGCAGTTTGTAGATTTGGTGGATGGGGGCCTGCGCGGGAAGGGTCTCGGGGCGCTCCTCCGTCGTGGCCGAGTCCCCTGGAAGGGAGGTCAAGGACGACTCGAGGTGGCGCTCCATCCGGGCCCACACTAGGACGTAACGACTTCGCCGTTGCTGGGTGGGGTCGCGCATCGCCGTGCACCAGTTCGCCATGGTGGTGTGCACCACCGCAGAGGTGGTGTAGTCTGAGAGGGCGAGCAAGAAGCAATCCACAACGGTCATGGTGGCCATTGCGAGCTCATAGTAGTGGTCTTTGGCAAAGAAGTCGGTGGCGTTGCTGAGGAGCTTAATCTGGCCTTCCATCGTGAAACAGGACTCGTTCGGGCATACGCGAAGATCCGAGACGATCCCGTAGAGCGTGTCCGTCGGGATCAGATGTTCCAGTTCGGGAAGGATGTGTACGTAATCGTGCCAAAACACACGCGTGAATATGCCGTGTGGCATGCATGCGCCATCGTCATCCTTTCCCTTCACAAAATAAAACATCTCGGTTACCCGGAAGCTAAGAGCTGCAATAAGAATTAACACCATGCCAGCCTCCACTATATCTTCATTCGCGCAGTGAGTTTTGTGTATTCGATACAGCCATTTAATAGCCTGCTTGAGATTATGTTGATGGAGAAGGTTCTTGAATATGCCAAAGTAAGCAAATACCATGTTTTCTTTGAATTTCATCGAATTATTCAGATGGAGGTCAAGTACGTTGTTAAAGATGGTGAGGACGTCAGCAGCCATCAGCTCAAAGTGCTGCGAAAACTTAGATGGCTTTACACTCGCTTTGTTTTTTGCGTCTTCCAGCTGTTTCCCGGAAAGAGGTGGATTACGTTCGACACTGAGGAACAGCTCCGGTACCTCGATCTTGAAAGCGGCCCGTGCCTCGTCTTCTTCGGAGTTGGAGACAGGAATGTGACGCTTTATGTAGTCGGAGGCTGGTAACTCAAAGGACTCTTCCTCCACACGGGCCTTTTCCTTTAGATCATCTAGTTGAAGCTCCAGAAAACGCCCGGCAAGATGGACGCTGCGTGCTTTGGACTCTGCCACCATAATTAACGCATCGGTAACGAAAAACTTCACTACCTCCAGTGAATCCATCCATCGAAAATAAGACTGACAGATCAGGAGGAATGTGTTCGAGGCTGAGGCCCGAACATGCTGACAGCAGCTGCACATAAGGCGCATGATTAACAACAACATCCCACCACACATTCGCGCTTTCCCACTGGAAATTTCGGGAAAAAACTGACAAATCGTTTGATGGGCAACCGCAGCGCTCATTTGTAGTGAAATGGTAGAGTTGGTGAGACTCAGTGTATTCTCCAACAACACAAAAAAGCGGATCACAGACGCGTCAGATTTCTCCTCACTGACACTCCGTATAGTGTGAGGAATCGTCCTGAGTATGATACTCGCGAACTGAGCGCTAATGGCAGTCATAAAGGTTGCGTTTCGGGCAGACCACAGCTGAAAAAGTGACTTCTGCTCTTTGTTTGTGATTTCATTTACATTCAAATCGCTTAAGGGATAGCGGAACAGTGCCTGAGCATCAGAAACCACGTGTAAAAGACCAGTAATCGTATTGGTGTTTTTTTGGCTGAGCAGCCACATCGTGATTTGTTCACGAGGCGCGTAATAGATAATCCAGGCCGTGACCATCACGAGCCTGCGCTTATCGTTTGTGGCTGCCTCAATCGTGTTCTTCTCACAGAGCTGGATAAAGATTTTCCATTTGGATGCAATTTCGGGAATCAATGGGAATATTTGCGAAGCGACACCATTAAGTTCGCTACCGAGAATTTTAGAGTCATTTGCGAGGCGCAGGAGAAACTGGTAGAGTGCATTGATAGAGTTCATACGTGCCACACGGTTCTTGTGCACCATCTGAGCTGGAAGCGAGCGGACTATGATTTTAGACAGGAAAGTCGGTTGTCTATTCACGTACGGGAGCAATAGGAGGGATGCATCTACGTATTCTAGTATGTAAAGGATGAAGTTGCTCAGGCTCTCGCCATTGCTTTGCTCCTCAAAGTAGCTTACTACATTGTCAATAATGCGGAGAACTTGCCCTCGATCCCCGTACAACGTGAGACCACGTATAAAGAGTGCGACTTGACGCACCAATGCGCTTTCGTTGTGTGTGTATAGTTTCTGTAATGCACGTAAACACAAGTCACCCGCCATACGGTAGAAGGAAGCATCAAAGAGCACCGTGCGTTCCACATTTTTGTTGTCGTGGGCCCACATATACATAGAACGCAGAATAGCATCAAAGAGAAACCACGATAACTTGCTCATATCAAGAAAGATGTTTCGTGTTTCCTCCAATACTTCAGCCGCTTTGACTCTTGACGACTCCGGAGATGATGATTCAGAGGATTTGATGCCATCCAACAAGTGATACCACACCTCTGCGAGACCGGCATATAAACGACTTTTAGCGAGACACTTTTTTCCTTCGTAAAGCGTGTCGTTGGTGAAGAAGTGATAGAGTACGCTGGGGACTGTTGTTCGCACGAAGGCCGTAGATTCCCTCACATCCCCGTGGCGGCGCCTGATGGTTGGGAGGCTCATATCGTATTGATGGGCCCTTGTCGTAATGAGCAAAAGCACATCTAACATATGGATCCTACTTGACAACCCAACTTTCGATGAACCCGACCCGATAAGCGAGAACGCGTACGCGCTAAGAAATGGATAGAACGCCAATATCTCCGCGAGAGGCAGCTGAGAGATTAGGCTGATTACTCTTCGATGAGGGTCTTTGGGCGTGCTTTCGAGATGTTTAAGCCGGCCCGAGACCGCCAACACATCATCTCCTCCTTTGAGAACTTCGATCGACAGCGGACACTGCTTGAATACTGACGCCACCGTGTTGTTGGAGGCATACACGCTGGTTTTTGCCTGTGCGGAGTAGGTTAAAACGTGTTTGCCATTATTCAGAAACGCGGTGGACGGAGCCTTAGGGAAGTTTTCAACGTAGCCTCCAGCTGATGCGATCGCCGCTTGATCCTGAGAAATGAATTTGAGGTGAGAGTTATTGCTTACCTGCAAGGTATCATTGAGAAGAAATGGGAGAGCCGCGTAGCCGACCTTGATCATTCGGGCTTGCCCTGGCACCGATGGCCGAGTTTTGAGTTGGGTTGCATAAAGGATGAAAAATATATGATGTTTCGTTGTCAGATTAAGAGGAAGCTGGATCTTGATTTCATCGCTCAAGTTGACTTCGCTGCTTGCATGCACGGTGGAGACCCACGCACATGTGTCCATCAACATGTTCGTGAGTCCTCGCCCGTAGATGCAGGGAAGCGCATTATCGTCTGACAGACTGTCATCACGTGCTTTAACACATATTTTTATGGTGTATGTATGATGCGAACTGGGCAAGCTTCTCAAAAAGCCTGAATAGGAAATTTTCATTTTAGAAAGTCGAAGGTAGTAAATATTGCTGTAGGTCGTGAAGTAGCCTGAGTTGAGGATCGGGATACAGCAAGGTGCATAGCGGTAAGTCTCTGGGTTCGCGTTTGGCAGATTCGGATCTAGAAGATTAATCATAGTTTCGTTTTCCTGGGGAAGTGGCTCCGTGTCTTCAGAAGGAAATGAAACCTCATGAGTAGAAAGATTGGATAACTCAAACTCAAGCGTATATGGTATTGTGTGAAAAGAGGTTCTAATGGTTTTATCCGAGATGAATGTAAGCAAATCTTCGTCCATCATCGGCTTTCGATAGATGCTATTCATTTTAACGATTGACAAGCGATTCTTATTGTTTAGATCACAGAATTCCGACATCCACCCTATTTCCTCAAGTATATCTGATAATTGCGCAAGCTGAAGCGCCTCTTGTTTCAAGTGTACGACGTGATTTTGCTTATACTTGTCTGTTCGAGCATACAGGTCCATATAACTTTCAAAATCTTCACAACAGGGGCGATAAAGACGCACCACAAGATGGAGAGTGCCTATGAATTCATTTGGTACAAATGCGATTACATTATTGCTATAGCTGAGATGATTACGATACCTATGCGGGAAGAATACATCAAGATCGGTGCTGAAATAGAACGTCTCGGAGACCTTTATTTTTTGCGTATCGGTGATGCTGTACAGCGCGATGGCGGCGATAAGTGGGTCGGTACCTTCCCCATGAATTTTCGACACCTGACTCATCATGGCTTTACACCTGACACACAAAATCATTCCACCGGTGAAAGTTTTCATCGCCGGAATAGGCTTACGCGTGTCGACATCACTGACCCATATGCAATTTGCCATGGATTTCTTTTCCGACTGTAAGTTATTACCTTTTCCCTCAGTATTGGTCTTTTTGTCTACCACCATATTCTCACAAACATGTTCCCACACCTGTAGAGGATCACCATACGATATCTTCGAAACTACTTTGTCAACTGTGGAACCGTCACCAGTGAGAATTTCTTGTCTCGCCAGCAGCCGTTCAGATGGGGCGTTGTGTGGAAGACCATCGTCGTCTACAGTCAACGTTGGGTCAGCAAGCAACTCTGATTCAAAGAAGCACGTTAAGCTACTCAAAGAGTGCTGATCTCCCTCACAGGCTCGTTCACGGATAGCTGCGCGTTGTCTCTGGAGGGTTTTTGTATAAATAATAGTTTGCTTAGCATTGAAAAACCCTAACTGTATCTTAACATGAGGCGGAATGTTTTCTGAGATTTCGTTGTAGGGGAGCAGACAACGACCTGGCTCCCGAATAGTGTTGAAGTGATTCACATTGACCTGACTGTGCTGAGCACTATTTTCAGTTAGGCCCCGAATACGTAGTTCCTTATCCAAAGAAGTCTCAAATTCCTCAAATCCAATGTCTCCAGAGGGTTCCACTTGTGAAGACGGATTGGAAGATACGGTCAAGGAATTATAACCGAGGATACCATTATTATTTCTAAGCGCTTGCGTTGGCAAACATGAAATGAGCTTGCTACTTACATCAGACTGTGTATCGTATTCAGTGATAGATGACATATAATTGTGTCTGTAGGTTTCACTTTGACTGTAAGAAAACTTTGTTGGTTCTTCGATATTATTTTCATTGGTGTCAACGAATTTTCTTTCTATGTCATCATCTCTACCCTCAAGTTCGACGGTACTGTTGTTTAACGATGTATTAGTTCCAGACACCGACGCAAACCTCAAGGGAGAGACGTGCAAGTCTTGCGAGTCAGAGGATGCTACATTTGGGCTGCCTCCATTTGAGGTGTGATACTCTTTCTGAATATGATCACACTCAAACTTCTTTTTTTCCGCATATTCTATAACGACTGCCTCACGAGCTTTAAGGCGAATTTCCTCCAGTCGACGTGGTAGTTCTTCAGCTTCAAGGAGTGCTTGTTCTTCAGCTTCACAACGTACCTGTTCTTCCGTGTTACAACGTATCTGTTCTTCCGTGTCACAAGGTACCTGTTCCTCCGTGTTACAAGGTACCTGCTCTTCCGTGTTACAACGTACCTGCTCTTCCGTGTTACAACGTACCTGTTCCTCCGTGTTACAAGGTACCTGTTCTTCCGTGTCACAAGGTACCTGTTCCTCCGTGTTACAAGGTACCTGCTCTTCCGTGTTACAAGGTACCTGCTCTTTCATGTCACAACGTACCTGTTCCTTTGTGTTGCAACTTGTATGCTCCGCTATTGTATCTCCATTGGGATCGGGATAAAGCTCTAGCGAGATACAGTTCGAGTCTGGAGGTGGGGGAGGGTACAATTCGTAGTTTTTTTCCCTTTTCCTTGTATGGAATATTGTTTGCATTGGAATGGAACTATCTCCAAGGTTTTCATCGGGTTTGTGTGGACTTGGCTTGGTGGGTGTCAATTCAAGAATTTGTGGCATTTGAGATCGAAAGGGATCGTTTTGCAAACTTTGATTGCGGCTGAGTTTCATTTGCCTTTCTATATCATCACTGTTCATTTTTGGAAATTACTGACTCAAAAGATAAAACCACCTTATAGTCAATAAAAATGTGAGGACAAACCACCTTTCTTAATAATTCTATTCCTGAATGAAACAATTATGAAAGACTATTTTCCTTTCATTAGCCACGAAAATGATAGAGAAAACAGAGAGCATTCACATTTATTCCCATGATTAGAATAATTTTTTTTCATTACTACATAACTTCAATTGTGTTTATTTGAAGTCTAGTGCGCTATTCTTTTTTTTTCCCCCAACAAACCAATCACCCAAGATAAGGTGATATCATCCTATCTCAATTACATACTCACCCTTTCTACTATAAAATCAGAGTAAGTACCACGGTTAAAAACATATTATAGAGACGGTACTTAAAATAGTGTTATATCCACTTAAACTAGACGTGTTAGGGATGAATTTTTAAGATAAATAATTTAAATATCTAAGATAAATTGTATTGACTAACGGGGTTTAATCAATAACGGGTTTCTGTTCTACCACAAATACGCCCTCCACAATTGAAGGAATGGAGCGGTATTTGAGATCAGCCAATTCAACTTTATCTGTAGAAGCCAGGAGGACGGGCGTTGTGTGGGTTTGGAAGCCGGTGATAGTCTTGGGTTTACCAGGCAAAGCGACGGTATCCACCGGGAGTCCCACGCGAACTTGAATCCCTTCCACCGGCTCCATTTTCTCATCCACAGCGAGCACCATTCGCGGGGTAATACTGGGCGTGATCGCCAAGACCATATAATGGTATTTATCCAGTACCGTATTATTTAAATCCAAGGCGCAATGCAAGAGGGTCAACAACCCCATTAACGCCGGGTGGTTGACGGTCAGTCGGTCGTTTTGCAAAGGGGAAAGCGCCAGATGGCCTTTCCCCATCGCGCACAGCCCTTGCGCGAGGCGGACGGTAAACAGCGTATTATTATACCGCGACCGTTGATAATATTGCGCGATATTGCGTAATTTTCCCGCCACCCGGGCGTTATTACTTCCCGCGGCGACCAAACCCATTCCTAAAACCGCATTCATCGCCGTACTGATATCGCTATCATGGGCCAATCGATTTAAACTTTCCACCACCGGCATGCTCGGATTGGAGGCAGAAAGAAGGGCGTAGACCAGCGGAACGGCGCGCCGACCGGACATCGCGTCTTTTTTTTTACTCACCGTATCGGCCAAAAGTGCGTGAATAATCGCCCGTTTGGCCATTTCCGCCCCCAATTCCTCCCCGAGGGCGACCAAACCAATCCCTAAAACGGCCGCGGCTTTGAAATTTAACGTTTTGGAGCTGACATCGTCGTGTTTTTCCTCGTTTTGTTTGTTGGAGTCCTCGTTCGGGTCGTCGTCGGCGGGGTCGTCGTTTTCCGCGATGATGTGGAAGAATTTTTGAATTGTAATGACATTCCCGGTCGCCGCAAACGCGCAGCTGCGGATGACCGTATCGGCATACTGGCTGATAATGGGCGAAAGCGCCTGAGTCGCGTCCAATAGGGTATCCGCACCCTCTTGACAACCCAAAAACATACAACCAAGGGCAAGAATGAGAAAACGCACGCAGGTCTCGGTTAGTTTTTTATCTGGAATTTCTAAAAGACAGTTCATCATCGTCTCGGTGATATCCTCGTCGGCGGAGCCGACGTATACCAGGGCTAACGCATAGGCCGCCAGGCACTGGACTTCCAACAATTGCTCCCCATCCGCGAGAATCGGCACCAAAAGTTCTTTAACGTCTTCTTTTCGCATCCCGGAATAGGCATAGCCCAGGCCGAGAATCGCCCCGATACTGACATCTTTTTGTGGGGAATTCACATGCTCCGAAAGCAGGCCAAGGGCGGGGTCGAAAGGGCTTTTGATCCCACACATGGCAATCCCCGAGGCCAAACACGCGCCGGATTTGATGTAATTGCTTTCGGAGTAAAAATACTTGTCGATCTCCTGCAGGCCTTCCATATGATCCCATAAATGCAATAACCCCAACGCGGCGGTGGTGGAGATGATGCGATCTTCTTTTTGATCAAACAAGAAGGTACTACTCTCCGTGAGATATTTATCCTTCCCAAACGCGCAGTTCGCCAGCCCACTGACAAAGGTGTTGGTGAGGTTTTGAAGGGAGTCCCGAGGTGGCTCGTTTGACGAGTCGCCGTTTTTAATCACCTCGTCCGGGGTCTTCGGCGCAATTGCGTCGAGCTCCTGCGCGGCGGATCGAAAGAGCTGCGAAATACGCATATTGCCATTCGCTTCCTGCAGAAGTTCATCTTCCTCCGCATCAAAATCTATAAAGTACCGATGGCGCGCGCAGGTCAGGGCCATTTGCAAGCGAAGGGCCTTGTTCGTGCAGGTTTTAAACAAAAAATCCACCTTTTCATGGCTGCCGAGCTTGAGCGCGATCACCACCGCGTCCGAGCACGCGCCGACTTTGGTGTAAATATTAAAAACCGTGCTCAAGGCCTCGGTATCCGCGGGGCGGGTGAGATAATGGCTCACCGCCGATAGATAATTCGCCACCCGTTTGTAGTTGGAGCTATCAACAAACCCAAGAATCCGCTTCACATCGTTGATCTCGATGAGCAAATCCATACAGGTCGGCTCATCCTGATGCGCGATCATGTACTGCGTGATTTGATCCACAAGATTAGACAAATGGTTGATGTTTTCATGCTTCCTAATGAGTTCCTCCCACTCCGCGGCGATTTCGCCAGCGAGAAAGCGCAGATACTCATGACCCCACTCCGCGAGATCGTCTAGGGTGCCTTTGAGCTTGTGCGCTAAACTCGGGCGGGTCCCTTTGTCGTGCTCAATTGTCATCGAAACAAAGGAAAGAACGTCGTGGAGACGACGTTGGAGGGCAAAGTCCTGCGTGACGTCTTTTAAGATTTGCTCTAACTCCGGAAAGAGCGTGCGAACGTACTTGAGAGGTTTCGGGACGGACGCCACGCTGCCACTGCTGCTGGTGCGCAGGAGATCCGCGAGCTGATTGATGGCAATCTTCGCTATCCCAAGATCCCTGTCCGCGGATCGACTTACCAAAAATTCCACCTGCTCTTTGATACGTTCGTCCTCTTCGCTGAGTTTGACTTCTCCGTCTTTTGATTTCTTGTCGACTTCCTTAGACTTTGGGTCGTCGGAGGGAACATTGATTTGAACTTGCTTCTTTTCTTTTTCGTTCATGTTATTTTTTTTTTCCAAAGACGGCGCTCTGTAAAGATGGCCTTAATAATATAGTAGTCGCTAAAAAGAAAATATGCACTAACACGATAAAGCTAATGTGTATAGTGGAAACTCTTATAAAGTAACCATATTCAATGAATTGGAGCAACAAAATCAAATCCAAAATTTAGGATTGTTCCTATTTCACAAATACACACCGATTTGTTTGCAAGTTTACTTCTTCTGATGGAGTACAAGATACAAAACGAAAAGAAGTCGCAATACTATGTATAAGTAGTTACTCATACGTTTGTAATTATTCGGATCCGGCGGATATTTTACATAAATCTGCTTTAGAGGGCGTATCCCAAATGTAATGTATGGTAAAAAGAAACAATATTATTATCATTTCTGCTGACCAAAAGGGTGTGAGGAGAAGTCTCACAGAAGATAGATCCATAAATTACATTAATGATGTCAACAAAAAAGGGAGGGAGGGGGGGGGGGGAGGGAGGGAGAGAGATATCCTATTGTTTAGTTTCATTTCTATTCATTTTTGATGCGAGACAGTTGCTGATGGATTGATAAGAAATATATAACGTTGCTGTCAGCCGAATGTTCACCTTGCTTAGGCAGCTCCATATTTAACAAATTCTGAAAAACTGTCATTTTTTTCAGCGCACGGTTCATGTTTTTAGCTAACGAGATAACCCCAACGCAGCCGCGCAGAAGCACATCAACTAAATGAAACACTATCCCTGTTTGATCTTCACGATCAAACGAGACCCCCTTTGAGTGACAAAGCGAGAAGAAGGCCTCATGCCGAATGCTCGAGATAAATGGATTGTAAATCAAGCCACTATAGATATAATGCAGTCCGATATTCTTATGTTCTAGATGGGAATCACTATCCTTTATTGGCGGCAGGGTTGTCAATGGGGAAGATCGTGTTGATAGCATCAACGCCACTTGATGCGCGGCGGCGTTGTTGGTCAGACCAATATCCACATCCACCGCCCAGAGGGACGAGAAGAGGCTATCCCCGCTACAGTCGGTACCACTTATCGCTTCTTTTTCAAAAAGAACGAAATCAACCGAAAGGTATCCGTAAATTCGCTTTCGAAATGCCGCGGTCGCCACGCGAATGGCGGCCGAGGCAACCGCATCGACATTGACCTCCGTCGTGCCGGGAAAGCAGCTCCCGAGCACCGTAAACGCCGGCGCCAGGAGGGGCTCCACGATGGACTGGAGGTGGATCTCCCCGGAGGGCTCGATAAACAGATTCGCGGACCGGTTTGCCAACAGGCGATTAGGAACAGCCTCAATACACGCCCCGACGGTCTCCACCATGTCTAAATAGGTGCCCCAGTCGCGATAGCAGTGCGGGTGAACGAGCCGCACGCGCTGGGCGCCGAACTCCTCCAACTCCCTCCGAAGCGCCTCGGCGAGGGCGTTTGGCGAGGAAAAGATCCCTTCTTTGAGGGCTTTCATCCGGCTCGTATCCAAATAGGCGTGGCCCCGACTCCCGCACTCGGTATCCAGCTTAATCAGCCACCGATTTACCGTGCGGTGGGTGAGGATGAGGTTCACCAGCG